CCCCGCGGAAGTGGGGAAAGTGGCAGGGGGAACCGCCCTTCCACGGAGGTGGAAGGGACGGTAGCCAACCCGGGAAGAACCAGCAGCAAACCCGGGGAGGGCCGAGCAGACAAAAGAACAGCGCAGGGTCCTGTGTCGTTCCTCCACGAAGAGGGGGAGCGACAACACACAGACACACACACACACCCACACATGGACACACACATATACACACACACTCGGGGACACACACCCACCCACACATAGACACCCACCTACCCACACATGGACACGTACACACCCCTTATTTTATGCTTCTCTTCAAAAGGACGTGTCGTGAATTATTTTAATTCTAATAAGGAGCCTTCTTGGTGGTGACAAGACATAAATGTGTTTTTTCTTCTCACCCAGGGAGCTGGACTGTCTTTTTTCTTTTCTCGCATGTATGTGTTTTAAATCTCTGTAAGAACAGAAGCTGGTTTGTCTTCTCATTAGTTTTAAGAAAGAACCCAAAGAACGAGGATCCTAGGCATCTATTTGGCATTGCCCTTAGAGAGCTCTACCGACCAAGCTGAAATTACCCATGCAGCAAAGATATCTCCATGGTTACTGTGCCAGCATGGAGCCCCTTTGGCTTTGGGCTGATGTTGTATGAAATGAAAGGTCTCCAGGGTTGTCAGCTAGCTAGTTTTTCAGGCTGTAGCTGTGGGTGCTTTTCCTTTGTTAGTATTTGGGAATGTAACAATGGGGCTCGCTTTCATATCTAGACTGAGATTTGGCCTCTTTATTTTTTTTTAAACAAATAGTTATTTGAGAAGCAAAGAAACAGAACTCCCATCTGGTGGTTCACTCCTAAATGACTGGTCTAGGCCCCATCAGAGCCAGGAATTCTGGGAACTCAATCCTGGTTTCCCATGTGAGTAGCAAGGAACCCAATTGTTTGAGCTATCCCTGCTGCCTCCCAGGGTGTGCGTGAGCAGGAAGCTGGAGTCAGAAGCTAAAGGTAGATATTGAACCTAGATGCTCCAGTATGGGACACTAGCACTTTAACTGCTAGGCTAAACTTCCTTCCCAACGTTTAACCTCTTTTCAATCACTCCATGATCATCTGACAATGATTATTGATAAAATGTGTAGAACCAGTCCCTGAAAAGGCAGCGTCCCTTTGCCCATGTCCATCCTGAATATGATAATGCTTTTGCCCCACACTAGTAAGTTCTTGGGTTTTGAAGCAGAAGGGAACTGTTAGACATAATCTGGTGCATTAGCTCTGCTTTACAGATGAATATAATAGGGGAATTGGGGTGGTTTTGTTTTGTGATATTCATTGAAAATTCATCATTAATTCTTTCAGTGAACACATTCATGGTCCCTGCTGTCTGTGTGTTCAGGAGCTGTAAAGTATAAATACGAAGATTGACAAACACGTCACCCCACCAAGGGAAATCCTGTATCTCAGAAGACTCTCGTCCCTGTGAATCCACACCGTGGATTGTAGATGTTGAGTTGACTGAGGAAACAAAAGAAGTTTCATTGTTAAAAATGACTTAAGTACTTACCAGGTAGGTTAGGTGAGAAGCCCTTGCAGGCAGAATAAACAGAAGTCGGGAAAGAGTGTGGTCCCTTTGGAAAATGCTTAGCAGGTTAGTGTTGCAGGCACGGAGGACTGTGCAGCAAGCAGTGATGAGAAGTGGCCGAATTCCTGCTGCGTGACGGGCTTCCTGGGGGCAGTTCATACCCAGCGGGCCATTCGGTCAGGATGAAAGAGGGGACTGGACATCTGTGACTATCACTGGGAGAACATTCTTGGTCCATATGCCCTAAAGCGCAGTAATTTAGGTAGCGTGCTTGTGGGGGCGGACAGCCCAACAAAAACCTGTGTGTGGCACAGCGGGGTGGAGCAGATGCTGAAAGACTCTGCGAGGTTGCCAAGCAAGGAATTTGTGTGATAATATTGCTTAGCATCTCTTGAACAACTCTCAGTAAGTTTTATTCACCAATATAATACGTGTTGAGTACAACATGACTTTTAAAAATTTAGTTTATTTGAAAAGCAGAGAGAGAAAGAGGAGGGGGAGAGAGCAAGCAAGCAAGCCACAGTGCTCACATCTCCTGGTTCACTCCCCAGATTCAGCAACCATGGGGACTGGACTCAGGTCAAAGCCAGCAGCCAGGAATTTCATGTGGGTCTCCCACGTGGGCAGCAGGTGCCCAACAACTTCCACTGCCTCCCAGGGTCTGTATTAATGTGAAACTGTAATCGGGAGCAGAACCAGGACTTGAACCCAGCCATTCTGATGTGGGATGCGGGCATTTCAAGTAGTGTCCCAGTTGCTGTGCCAATCACCTACCCCTTGTGCACAATTTTTAAATACCCTACCTGCCTGCCTGCCTGCCTTACTCTCTTCCTCCCTCCCTCCCCCCCCCCCCCACTTCCGTCTTTCTGTCTTTCAAATTTGCCGCATGCTCAGCACACTCTTAGGCACTGGGGATGCAATAGCAAGTTTGCCCTCCATGATGTCTCCATTCTAGAACAGGAGTCAGGCAATGAACTTGATAGGACAGGGTTATGGGCAGACACAGAGGGTGGATCGGGGCTGGGGAAGACCAGAGAAGGGAGGTAACTGGTTAAATAACATCTGAGGGAGCTGGAGTTAGGGTGATCACTGTACCAAACATAAGGAAGGAACTCTTTGTGAATTTGGGATGTTAAGAGGGAGCCTTGGAGATGGAAATTCACAACCCCTAGGTGCTGTGTGTTTAGAGTGCAGATCATATGTAGCAAAGTGCTAGCTAGCTTTGGATGAGCAGAATTTGACACATTGATGAGACATTCAAGAGCTGCTAATCTCTTTTTATCAGCATTTTCAAAACGTTGGTGAGGTTTAATCTCACCTGGGAAACTTGACAAAAATACAGAGGCCAAGACCAGGCCTGTTCCTTCAAGAAGTCTGGGCCTTTGTGTTAGTTTTTAAATTAAAATTATTTATTTCTTTAATATATTTGAAAGATGGAGAATGCTGAGAGGGAGAGGGAGGGAGAGGGAGGGGGAGGGAGGGGGAGGGAGGGGGAGGGAGGGAGGGAGAGAGAGAGATTGATTCATTCTAACATGCTACTTTACTTCCCAAAGGCCTGCAACAACTGGGGCAGTGCCAGGCTGGAGCCAGGAGCCAGGAACTCAATCTACATTTCCCATGTGGGTGTCAGGGACCCAAGTATTTGACCCATCACTTATGTCTCCCAGGATGCACATTAGCAGGAAGCGTGGAACTGGGACTTGATTCCAGGCATTCCCATATGGGATATGGGTGTCCCCCACAGCGTCTTAACCACTAGACCAAATGTCTGTTCTGCCATGGAGGTTTATTGATTCACAGTTGATGCCAATGCACCAAAGTTTGCAAATCACTGGTTTAGCTTATGAGGATTACAAGTCTGGGAAGAATTATTGAATGAAGAGCTGAAAATGTATAGTTTAGAGTTTCCCCTCTGGTGTTTAAAAGGGGAGAAGAAAATGCCATAGGACGATGACTGGTTGTGTAGAAGAGACTTTGAAAAGTTTTTTGGAAGTGGAATTGAAAAATGTGTTTATTTCGGGGCAAAAACAAAATCGAAATGCATGCATATGAGAGTTCTTCAAAAAAGTCCCTGGAAAATTCAGATCATGAAAACATGGATTTCAATTTGTGTGTGTGGAAATACATATCTTTTAATTTCATTTCTCACAGATTTTTGAAATACCCTTATGTATAATTGATGGGAATACAAGAAGAGCCTGAAAGGGAGACAAATTAATTCATCCACACGGGGAGAGGGGGAGAAGAGGGAACAGAGAGAGCTCACATTCTCCCTTTAACTGAAATACGGGCTCCATGGAGACGGAGTCCTGAGGGTTATCTTATACCTGGCACTGTGCCTAGCGTGCACTATGTACTTAATCAATATTTGTTTATTGAATGAATCAATGTGTCCATGCATGGCCTAAAAGAACTCTTTAGGAAAATGCAAGCAGTCATGTCAAATGCAACAGCCGGAGGTCAAGAGAGCCAAAACCTAAGGGATTGCTGGCGGACTCAGTCAGAAGGAAGCGAGTGCTATAAAAGAAATGGGATAATCAAATTCAAGCAGTATGTTTAGGCACTGTAGTCGTTTATAACATTCATCCTGAAATGTTGATGAGCAGCGGAATAGCAGTGAGATATATACACACCCAGAATATCCATACTCATGCAAATGTGTGCATGTAAAAGTATAGAGATTTAACTCAAGGGTCTTCGTGTCCCATGGTCTTGTTGATGTCCTGCAGCAGCTGCCTTCAGCCTGTGAATTCTGCAGGACTAAGTAGGTCTCAGGACTCTCACAGGTTGCAGAGCACTGCGACTGGGAGCTTGGAACAGAGACAAAGGCAGTGAGGTGCCAAAGAACTGTCTCCAGTAAGCTGGGTAATCCGTTTGCCACCCTCAGATTTTCGGTGATTGCTCCCCAAGAGTGGATATAGTTTCTAGAAATGGCATAAAAATATAAAGTCCTGTTTTAAAATTTGTGTAATGCTTTTTAATTCCAGACACATATCTCGTTTGAAAGAATAAGCCTTTTGTGTCACACGGCAGAGATGCTCTTTAGTCGGCTCGTCTGACTGCAGAATCTGAACCTGATCCGCAGGTTCCCAGATGAAACGGCCCACCTTTCTTGCACTTTGAAATGCCATGGCTGACTGGCTGTTAGTGAGGATTCATTTATTCTTTTCACACTAAGTATCGCCTGTGGGGGATAAACTTCTGTAAGTCCACATGAATACAACCCAGTTCTACTGACAGAAGTTTAGCGCATGTCCATGGAGGGAAATGGGCATTGAAGTAATCTACATGTAGGCATTCACAATCATCTTTATTTCATAGTCTTCAGATTTCTATGTGGATCTCCTTGTGTCTTCAGTGCTGTTTAACATGGATTGCAATTATCTGGTGATGGGTCTGCGGTTGTAAGTTTAACAGGTTAACTGTCTCTTGCCTCTGTTTCAGCTGAGAAGTTTTGAAAGTGAAACATACACATCCACCAGGAGACATCCAATCTAATTGCTCGTCATGCTTATCACACAGTTCACGCTAAATGCGGAGTGCTGAAGGAACTGAACCCGTGGCTCTGCAGACAGCTGGCCATGGTGCTGGCCATGGCATCTCAGGATGCTCACAACTTCTTCCAGCCTCTCTCTTCCTGGATATCTCGCATCTATGAAGCTCTCCAGCAGGCAGGGGATACCTTGTCAGCCTCGCTGGTTAACTTAAGCAAACAAGACTCTAATCTGAGCGGACAGCCGGACCAGGACTTTGACGAGGTTCAGATTCAGGAAACTTGTTACGAAGACGAAGAACAAGACAACGATTGGAGTCAAGAGGATGCAAATTCCTTGTTTCTCGAAGTGGAACATGTCTCATGTTGTGAGAGTGGTTTGCAGGACTCTGCCCAAAGTTCAGGCCCCAGAGTTAGCCCAAACGCAAAGGGCTCATGTTCTGTAATGTCCCAGTGGCCCGACCAGACCCTAGATGACCATAAGTCAGCACGTGGACTTTCTTCTATTGCTGAGGAAGAGTGTTACCCTGAAAAGCAAAGATGGGACCTTCAGCACAGCTTTGATAGCCAACTCCCTGCTACGTTAGAAAATGTGAACGGAAAAAATCAAGGTAGGCTAGCCAATGATAATTTTCTCTTGGTTCTGGCAAAAGGTATTTCTACTTTATTTTGTCTTGTTTTTAGTTATCATATGGATTTTATTTTTCTTTCTTATACCTCTCAATCATACTCATTTTTGACTGAGAGATAGAACCCTTAGGAATATTTCCAACATTTAAGCTTTGGGAGACTCGTGTTTGTGGACTCCATATCTCCAAACCATAGGTCTTAGCAAGTGAAGTGGTGAAAACCAGGCTGTGGGTTGTTTTTGCCTCTTGTACGCATGTCGTGCTTTTTAAAATATCTTTTGAAATGTTCTCTTTTTTCCCCCTGATTTAGGGATTTCTAGATGTTACTATATTATTCAGTGTGAAATCCTGTGCAAAAAAGCCATACTGGTTGCAGAATTTATAGTTGCTAGCACTCCAAGAACACTCAGTGTTTCACTGATGTGAGATGGCAGTGGGTAGGAAGTCTCTGCAGTAAGAATAGCTCGATTTTCTTTCAGCCTTGAACGCTAAGGACACGTTTTATAAAAGCTGCCTCTAAAGCTTTTGCTGTCAGGATTGAGCACGTTTTGGACCTTCAGCAAATGGACAATGAATATGAGGAAATAGAATTAATTTGGTAAAATGACCTGTTACGGCATACATTTCTCCTACTTCTCATACGCTAACCTGGAAGTCTGGACATTTCTACTTGGTTAAGGGATATGCACACACGGGGGTTGGTACGTATGTATGATACGTGGTTGTAGTGCATACACAGCTAACATAGACTAGTAAATTATTTATGCGACATAAAGATAGACTCAATAATTCCATTCTTGTTGGAGGGGGCAGACTTTTCATAACCTCTTCATCCGTTTACAATGATTCCTTTGAACTTTATCTTTTTAGGCAAGAGTTTTTTTTTTCTAGATACATGAAGTTATGTTACATAACGAAAAATACTTTAAAAATGTTATTTTATTCATTTGGAAGAGAGAGAGAGGGAGAGGAAGAGCAAGACCGAGAGTGAGTGCAAGGGTGGGGGGAGATGTTTTCCATACACTGGTTTATTTTGTAAATGACTATGGCAGGTGGAGCTGGATCACATCAAAGCCACTAATGCAATCTAGGGCTCTCTTATGGGTGGCAGGGACCCAAATGTTTGAGTCACCACCTGCTGCCTACCAAGGAAGCTAGAATCAAGAATAGGACTGGCACTCCCTGACATGGAGTATGGTGTCCCAAGTGCATTTTAACCAGTATCCCCAATTTCCACCCTAGGAAACATACTTTCATATTCTTCTTAGACAAAGGTTTTTCAAACAGCTCATGAAAAAATGGAATTAGAAGATAAGTTTATTTTGCTGTAAAATAATTGAAATTATGTATATGAGGAGTTTTCAAAAATTCATGGGAAAATACCTATTGTGAAAACACTACACATGGATTTCAGGTTTTATTTTTGCACCAAAATTTGATCTTTTAGTTCCATTTTCCATGAACATTTTGAAGTACTCTTATCATGGTTCATTATACTCTTAAGCTAAAGTGACATTGAAATGTTAGAATAACGTGGTGAAAAGTTCGTGGGCTGGTAGTCTTTCTAAACCTGATAAGGTATAAATAATCATAATTTTGAGTCTTTGAAAAATTATCCTTAGAAATAATTCTAGAAATATCTGGACCAGAAGTTACATTTCTTCAATTAGAATTAAAATTTCTATTATTTTCAGAGAATTTTTGCCAATGTTGAGCTGTATTTGAAATTAACACGATATTGGCTCAATAGATACCTTGCTTGGCTAATTTTTGTAATTGCTTTAAAATCTAATGACAGTGAAACAACCAAGTTCATTTATCTCCTTAGGACGTGTTCACTCACTAGATTGCAACCTCTTGGAAGAGAGTGACTGTGTCACAAATTTATCTCTGTACCCTTAATTGTGAGTTCAGTGTCAGGTAGATAGTGAGACAAATAATAATTAATGGTGGAACAGCACCGAGATGCTAACTGTGAGAGGTAGATGCTGTTGTTCTCGCTTTACAGCGGAAAAATGGGCAGTTTGAGAGTTTTTTTTCTGAGGTTCATTGAATTCTGCAACTGTTTTTTCTTCCTCCTCCTTGCTTTTGATATAATTTGTCCTTTCTTCCTTCCTAGTATCATTTAATGTATGAATTTCCCCCCAGGCAGGGCTTTGTTTGCATCCAACAAATATTAATGTGTTGTATTATTATTTTATTAAGATCAAAATAGTTTCTAATTACCCTTTTCAGTTCATCTTTCAGGCATTGGTTATTTAAGTGTATAAAGTTATAAATGGGATATTCTAGACATTTTTCTGTGGTTGATGTCTTATCGAATTCTGTTATGGCCTGAGCACATACTTTGAAAACTTAGTTAAAAGCTTGTTTTAGTGCCCTGAATATGTTCTGATTTGTTGAGTATATCATTTGCCCTCGAACTTGCTGTATATTCTGTTGTTTTTGGGTAGCATATTCTGTAGATTACTCTAAAATGTTTCAGGCTGCTTTACTGATTTTCCTAATGCTTATTTTGCCTCTTACTTTTTGCCTATTGATTATGTTCTATTGACTGTAGGGAGTAACACTGAAGCCTTTAGTTGTCTATTTAGTGATTTCTCTCATTTTTATCAATTTTTGCTTCGTGTAGTTAGGAGTTCCGGGTTTGCTGTTAAGGGCATGCATCTTTTTGCTGCTTTGACCTTGTTGTCACTCTGTAGCATACCATTTTTATCTTGGTGATGTCTCTAAACTCTGCTTTGATATCAATGTGAGTACTTTAGCTTTCTTTGGATCAGTGTTGGTGTGATACATTCTTTTCCATTCTTTAACTTTAAACATATTTTGTGATTGTATTTGTTGCACATTACAGATGACTGGGCATCACTTTTTGATACAGTCTGACAATATTTCATTTTAATTGATGTGTTTTAACTATTTGTATTTAATGTAATTATTAATATTATTGAATTTAGAGCTGTCATTTTGCCAGATTCTTTTATATTTGCTTCTCTTTTCTTTGTTTCTTTAACCCCAAATATCCTGGTTTTTTTTAGATTGAGTTTTTTGTGATTCCATTTCATGTCTATTCTGTGTTCACTTTACTGAAGTTTGATGGTCACCCTAGTATGTCAGCATACATATATAGTTAACTGAAGTCTACCTTGAAATTTTATTGTTCCACTTCAGATACAATATGATGATAAAGCAGTGTAGTCTCATTTATTCCATCCTATACTTTATTTTACTGATGTCATATATTTTGCTTTTATGTATGTTTTAAACATAATACATTCATACTACTTTGCTTTAGACAGTTGTTGATCTCTTATAATTATTAAAATATATGAAAGGATTTTATTTATATATATATATCTTATTTATGCCATTTGAAGCATGCTTTATTTTAACTTTTCTTGTATATTCTAGTAATGGATTGTATCAGTTTTTCTTTGGAAAATACTTGTCACTTATTTTTCAAAAATATTTTTGCTATTTTGTTTACCCTAACTTATTCAACTTGAAGCACTCTTCATTTTAACACTTCTTATAGTCATATATGCTACTGATGAATTACCTTATGTTTTGTTTGAAAAATACTTCTCACTTGTTTGAGAAATATTTTAGCTGGGTATAGAATTCGGATTGACAGCTATTTTCTTACTGCACTTTAAGGTCACTGCCGTCTTATGGCTTGCATAGTTTCATGTAAGAAATATGCTGTACTTCCCCTCTTCCCTGCATGTGTCTTTCTTCTTCTGGAGGTGTCCAAGATTTGTCTTTGTCTCTGATTTTCAGCAGCATTTATTAAGGCACATGCGAATGCATGTTTATGTTCCATTATTTGTTTTTTGTTGGTATTTCCTAGGCTTATAGGGTTGATGATTCTAATAAACTTAGAGGACATCATTACTTTTGGAAAATTCTTGGCTGTTTTCCTTTCTGCTCCATTCTCTCTTGGTCTTCCTTCTGGTATTCTAGTTAGACAAAGGTTAGACTATTTGGTATCATCTGATAACTCTTGGATGTTATATTTTCACCATTCTGTTTTCCTTTTTGGGTGGTATTTACTGACATGACCTTCTTCAAGTTTATTAACCTTTTGTGTGGCATGTAGGGTCTGCTTATGAGCCAGCTCGTCAAAAGCATTCTTTATCTCTGTTACCATATTTTTCATTTCTACCATTTTGATTTAATTGTATAATTCTATAATTTCAATTTTTTTTCTGAAATTCAGCATAAATTCATGTTTTTAACCCTTCCCCCCATGGATTCTTAACATATTAGTCATGTTTTTTTATAATTTATTTATTTGACAGGTAGAATTACAAACAGTGAGAGAGAAAGAGAAAGAGAGAAAGGTCTTCCATCCTCTGGTTCACTCCCTAATTGGCCACAATGGATGGAGCTGCACCAATCCAAAGCCAGGAGCCAGGAGTTTCTTCCTGGTCTCCCATGTGGGTGCAGGGACCCAAGAACCTGGGCCATCCTCCACTGCCTTCCTGGGCCACAGCAGAGAGCTGGACTGGAAGAGGAGCAACTGGGACTAGAACCCAGTGCCCACACGGGCTGCCGGCCCTGCAGATGGAGGATTAACCTAGTGCACCATGGTGCTGACCCTGGTCATGGTTATTTTAAATATCCTGTCTGATAGTTCTAGTGTCTGAGTCATATTTGTGTTTGACTTCCTTGATTGTTTTGTCTCTCTTTTTTTTATTTATTTGACAGAGTTAGACAGTAAGAGAGAGAGACAGAGAGAAAGGTCTTCTGCTGGTTCACCCCCCAAATGGCCGCTATGGCTGGAGTTACGCCAATCCAAAGCCAGGAGCCAGGTGCTTCTTCTTGGTCTCCCAAGCACTTGGGCCATCCTCCACTGCCTTCTCGGGGCACAGCAGAGAGCTGGACTGGAAGAGGAGCAACCAGGACTAGAACCGGCACCCATATGGGATGCTGGTGCTGCAGGCAGAGGATTAACCAAGTGAGCCACGGCGCTGGCCCCT